GCCATATATATATATATATATATATATATATATATATATATATATAGGGTTGGGTTCACGTGAGACCAACTTGTTTTCGTGAGACCCGTGAGACCACATTTTTACACGTAAACTTCACAGCAAAAACACTGTGAATGTTTTAAAAAGTCGAACCTTCACAGCAAAAACACTGTGAAGGTTTTAAAAAGTCACCTTCACAGCATTTTTGCTGTGAAGTTTCAAGTGTAAAATGCTGGTCTCACGGGTCTCACGAAAACAGGCTGGTCTCACATGATCCCAAATCTATATATATATATATATATGCCTATATATATATGTGTGTGTTTGTGTAACACCCCAAACCACACACACATTGCATGTAACACATATTTCATACAGAAGAAATACATGATATTATCTCATTCAGGTCCCTTAGTACAAAAATCTATCATTACCAAATACAAGGTCCAAAAATTCAAATACATTTATTGTATTATTCAACGTTCATCAATCAAAACTATACATCATAAACAATTCTTCACGTAGATAAGCATTTAGAAAAATATCACATTTTCCCCTTCCCCTTACCGWCCGTACCTCCTGCAATACATAGTTAAAATCACAAAATGAGGGTTAGACTGAAAGGTCTAGTGAGATACCCTATTTATGTTATTGCAGGGTGAAAATCATCAAAACCTTTATGGAAAACAACTTTTCATATATATAACAAATATATGAACAAATAAGGACATAATACCAGATCCTTTCCACTTTTCAAACTAAGCATTAAACTATTCAAATCTCATACATTTGAACCAATCAGGTTTCATATAATGCCACTTTTAAACCTTTTCTAATCAAACAAGGTTTATATAAAGTTTCAGGCCAAACCTGTTATTTTCTCCTCAATAACATCCAGACTATGATTTCCAATAAGAACCTTGATCTTAAATTTTTAAATCACAAAGAAATAAAAATTCCAGACTACGGTAGTCTTAAGGGATATAATAGAAAGAGTTATATCGTACAACACACATACAAATGTCACCCTTATATCAAATGTACACCTCTTCTTGATATGTCACCATTATCCCATGATACACCTCTCCTTGATATGCCACCCTTATCCTATGGTACACCTCTCCTTGATATGCCACCCTTATTTCCCCATCAAAATATTTCACAAAAATAATTTCCAATAAACTGCGGTCATTGGAATTATTATCAACCAAAAATCATTTATATCAATTTTCCATTTTATGATAAAATAACAATTTTTATCAATCAAGCACAAGGCATAATACAAATCCGGTCAACCTAGGCTTGGCCGAACTTCTTCTCCGGTCAAGCCTTGGCCGGTTTAACAAATCCAGACAACTCATCGCCCAAGGCTTGTCCGATTTAACACTTAGAATAAATTCCAATACCTTTGTCCGGATAATACATCGCCCAAAGTTTGACCGATTTAAAAATAATCCGGTCACCATATGGTCGTATTCATACTTCTCAGTTCAAAATGTTTACCATACTTATCATTCATAACTCGCTCCCGGTTTAAAACTAAACCGCTTAACGCTTGTTCGGTTTAGGGCTTAATCGCCCAACCCTTGTCCGATTTAAGAATAATCCGGACAAGCTTTGTCCGATTTAAACTTAATCCGGTCACCATTTGTCCGGATAAAACCCTTAAGCAATTAACTGATTTCTTTCCAATAATAAACAACATTCAAATAAAACCAGTAACAAGTTTTATGGAAAAAGGTTTAGAAATCATTCACCTTATCAAGCCTTTTGAAAACAACCTTCTTGTAATGCAAAAAGTAAGAAAAATCCAGGCAAGCTTTCCCTTCTAAATCGCTCAATTTATCTGAATAGCCAAGAAGATAAAATGGGGGGTCAAACCCTCCTTTTATACCTTTTCTTAAGAGGAAAGTCGGCCACATGCACACACCCACACACCATGCATTCTCATAACATGCATGTGTGTGTGTRTATATATATATATATATATATATACTTCTACATATACACATAATCTCATACATGCATCTACATTATGTACATAATTTTCATACACTAGCATGATCAAATATAACAATTTATCATGCTATCACGAAATCATTTAATCAGATAATCACACATTAATTACCTTGGGTGAAAACCAGGATCCGGTTATCACAATATGGAAGGGTTCAAACAAAAACACCTTTTTTTTACGAGAACGCGAGAACACTCTTTTAGCATAAACAATCACATATGATACACATGTGATACTAAATCAGAGACGTGGACGACTTTTAACGCTATCTAGGTTGTAGGACAAATCGCCCTTACACCACTAAACCTCCCCACATGTACTATCACATGTGATAAATGTGTTATTAATGTGATACTATAATCTATTAAGACAATCACACGTGATACTAAATTATAGATGCAGACAATCTTTGGTGCGACCTAAGTCGCAATGCACGACATCCATACACCACCAAGTCCCCTCAAGTGTATTACCACATGTGATAAGGATGTTCTTGCCTTGTAATAAGTGTTATTGACTCACTGTTGTATTGTATCATGCTTTATATTTTGGTTTGTTTATACTGGGTTGAGTTCATACGAGACTAAACTTTTTTCGTGAGACTCGTGAAACTACTTTTTAAACTTGATTTACAGCAAAACTATGAAGTTAAAAAAAAATCGAAACCTTCAGAGCAAAAACAATGTGAATGTTACCTTCACAATATTTTGCTGTAAAATTTCAAGTATAAAAAAATGGTATTAAGGGTTTCAAAAAAAAAAATGGTCTCACGTAATCCTAAGTCTATATGTATGTATATTACAAAATATTATAGTAAATATATAGTGAATACCGCAAGTGGATTTCATTTTTCAATAATAAATTGGCACTATATTTCATTTATCCAGAAGAAGACAAACACTTCAGTGATAATGTTTTGTAGGCATTGATCATCTAGCATATTTTAAAAGAAATATCAACTTACCATACTCTCATACTCAAGATTTGTCTAAAAACTCATTTTCAATAGAAATCAAAATCAAAACATATAATCTCTCAAGAGAAATCGGATCCATTTCAGTATAAAGGGTCAAAGGACAGAGAAGTAGGAACCATCCAAATATATGTTAACAAAACCAAAAACAATCTCACCTCCCTCATGGAAATCAGGGTTAACGATAGTGTGTCTCATCGTTAAACACATTTAACCTTGTCTCTATCCATACCATGGTTTAAATACAATCTCAACAGGTTCTCCATGACGGTTAGGTGGACACATTCTTCATTAAACCTACTCTCGTTGATGATGAAAGTAAAAAAACTCATTAATGATATCATTTTCTACTTTTCTACAAAACATCTCTTTCCCCAATTCTAATGAAGTGATGTTTAAAACATTCTTCAAGTACAGACATGCCTTGGAGAAAACAAGATCTATCTCACTATTCTAATGAAATTACAGTTAGAACAATATATTTTTTATTAACCTAGATATCCAATCCGTTATGCGAGCCGACTAATCCCAG